AAAAAAAGTAATCTTAATGGGTGTGAGATGGTTATCCATACCCCTCTCAGGTTTATTTGTACTTGGAAGTGGAAAATTAAGTACTGTAATTAGCACGGGTCTACTCGATTATCCCAAGCCTTAAAATAATCATTGCCGTTCTAGTAAGGACCTAGACGTTGCTGCCACGGCCACCACCACCACCACCACTGTGACTCTTTAGGTCGACAAGGCTAGAAATACTGTTTCCTTCCAGGACAGATCCGAGTTAGTTCCCTCTAAGAAATTCATGCTGAAATTTGGTGAAGTCGCTCTGGGTGGCAGAACTTCTCCAACACTGGCTATATTCTTGGGGGGGAGGGTGTCGTTTTTTCAAGACTCCTGACTACAAATGACAGTTTAGGCAGATTCTGACGGAATTATTCTCGTGGGCTTAATGCAGGCATTGTACACCACCGGACGGAGAAAACAATCACCTATCACCATTCTGCAGCCTGTGGGTGACGCTGGTTAGAGACCCGTGGCTGGGGCCTCAGCATGTGGGGAAGCCTTCACATCCTCACTGCAAGTTGGAGGGTATTTCCACTGAATCATGGGCCCGGTGAAGACAAGGACCAGAGGCAGGGTGGGGGACCAGCCGGAAACCGCGTTGGAGGGCTCCCTGGGACCAAGAGAACCGGAAGCGGAAGTCCAGCCCCACAGCGCTGAGACGCCCAGTGGGCAGGACGGGTGCGTAACCGCTGATTGGCTGTACCGGTGGGCGGGAAAGCGGGTAACTGGCGAGCAGCCCTGAGCTCTTCCTACGCTGAGGGAGCAGAGCTCAGGGAGGAGAGCAGGAGCCGGCCCGAGGCAGCTGCTCACACGTGAGGAACTGGGTGACCACTCGTCTGGAGCTGGCCTCTCCTCAGGGCTGCTGAGTGGGACTCTGCGTCCTGGGTCCCGCTCAGTGGCTCCACCTCTGCAGACGCCTGCTTTTCTTTAACCCATTTTTAAAAATTACTTTCTAAAGCGGGCGTGGTGGTGCACACCTGTAATCCCAGCGCTCCGGAGGCTGAGGCAGGGCGTACATTTGGAATCCTCCTGTCTCAGCCCAAGGTCCTGGGATTACAGGCTAGGTTTTGCTACCACACCCGGCCTTCTCTTCATACTTTTATCTTCTTTTGTTAAAAACGCTTGTGCAGGGACACACAAACACATCTTCTAATCCTAATGCAACTCTTAAGAAGGAAAGGCCCCTGACCCTTGATTCTTCTGCTTTCTTCACAGACATGGCCACGGATCACCCTGGGCACATGCACCTGCCCAGAGCTGATGCTATTCATTCTCGTCGCGTTGACCTGGAGTTTTTTCAAGACTCCAGCCAGCCTGTGCCACTTTTCACTACCCGGGAGATACTTGGTCAGCAGACTGTTTTGCTGCACTAAATTCCAAAGACCAGGAGGCAGAGGGTGGAAAATTCAGGAAAGACTGGTTTGGAGGTTACACCAAACTTGATAAATCATGTCGAGGGTTTTCTAGTATAGGAAATTAAAACCCTTCACATTAAGCCACACCCCTCAGCCATTTATTTTTTTATTCTGAGGTAGGGTCTAATTAAGTCGTTAAATTGCCAGGCTGGGCTTGAATTTAGGATCCTTTTACTTCAGATTCCCAGCCACCAGCCACCAGGCTTGGTTTATAAATAAAACTCCGAATCAGGAAAGAGAGTCCTTGCCACTCCTTTTTAGGATACTACTCTTGATTAACTGAAAAAAGTCCTGCCAAAGATACTTGAAATTTGGAAGATTGAGTCTACTGCTTTAATTGTGGGTGTGGTTAGTATTGGTTATAAGCAGGACGTGAACTTTCACACTAACACACATTTATCCACTGACCCCCCCGCACCCTGTCTCCCTTGTTGCCCATGCTGGCCTTGAACTCCTGAACTCAAGCAGTCATCCTGCCTCAGTCTCTTGAGTGGGTAGAACTATAGGCACCATCTTTTTAAATTTTTTTATTCTAGATCCTTCCTATCAGAAGCCAATTGGATTGAGAGATCAACACCAGCAAGTGCTCTTCTCCACAAAGCCCCGGCATTTAGGACGGGTTTCACATGCCCAGCGACTACTGTGTAGATTTAATGTTCGCCATAGTCCTTGGCCACCTCTTTCCCTGTGGGCCGAATGGGTTATCGAGCGTATCCTTCTGCATCAGTCATTCTTAGCCATGGCTATTCATCATCTGCCTAATGGTTTCTTCCCTGCACCTTCTTTATATTCTCACAGCTTATATTCTTTCTTCCTTCTCTCTCTCTTTCTGTTTTTCTTTTCTTTCCTTCTGTGGTGCTAGAGATGGAAGTGAAGTCCTCCTACTTCAACTTATATTCTTGCTCATATTATTTCAGTTGTGTGGACCAGGAAGAATTCCACTCAGTATGTTTCCTTAACGGAAACCAGATCCTTGGTTTAAGAACTTCATCAATTTCCTCATCATTTTGAATGTAGTTGTACGGATGGTTATAATAGGTGAGAACGGACCTAGAAGAGGAAACGGGGGGAGTTACGGTTCTTCTCAATTGATTATTTTACATTTTTGAACAGGTTTGAATTGTATTAATTGTGAGATCAAAATATTAAGCCCCCTGGAATAGAATGTGTGCACCTGCTAAGGTCTAGGAGCATTGGAGGGCTGTCAGGATTACTGTGCAGGAGATAGTAGTCTGGACACTTAGAGACCAGTGGTGCTAGTGGTGTTTTAACAAGGTAACAAGTCCACAGGAACTGGAGATGAAAAGATCAGTTATATTTCTCCAAATATGCAGTCCCCCACTACTCCGGGGATTGAACCCAGGGCCTTGCCCATGCTAAACAAGTGCTCTACCATTGAGCTACCTCCCCAGTCCTGAACCTTTTCTGAGATATTGGTACCCTTTCGTGAATGATCTGACATTTACATTTTGTAAGTGTATTTAGAAAGATGATTTAAGTATAAATTTAGAAGCTCACAAAGTAAAGTTAGGGACAATTGAGATAGCAAATGAGCCAAAAAATTACTAAGATGCTAAATGACTCTAAAACCAATCGTGAGTTATATGAGAAATATATTAAAAACAGAAGACCACCTATAGAATTAGCACATTTGATGGTTATTTCAAACAAGCTGTTCAGAAATGATGAGAAGAGAGTAGCAGTGTTCTATTGTTTCCTCCTCCCTTTTTTATGGGTGTCTCCCACTTGAAAATAGTCCTTCAATGCACTCAGGTCAAAGTTATTTAATACACAACAATACTCAATTCCCTGACCTACAACTGTTGACCTACAACTGTATGTACTTTATATACTTTGAAATATTTTTATTTCCTCCCCATAAAGTACAGGTTTTGAAGTAAGTCAGTCACAATTCCCTATTTCATTTTTTAAATTTTTCAACTTTTTTCTGAGACAGGGTCTTATTATATATTCCAGGCTGGCACTGAACTCACTATGTAGTCCAGGTTGGTGTCAAACTTGCAGCGATCCTCCTGATTCAGCCTCCTAAATGCTGGGATTACAAATGTGTACCACCACGCCTGGCTTTAGGTCTATTTTGACATCAATTTTCCCCCCTAGAACAGTGGTGGCAAATATAAGGCATGTGTATTATTTTATTTTTTTTAACAAAAGATGTTAATGTCTGAGTTGTTTCTTCTAAACTAAAACCTCAGTATTCAAATTTAATTGCAGTGTTGGCACTTTGCAATAAATAAGTTAGCCTTGGGTTGCATTTTGGGCATTTGGTCTCTAATATTGCTGCCCTGGAGCACGACACACATCCTCAAGCACGTGAAAGTTGCTGGGTATGCTGACACACTCTTGTAATCTGGCACTCTGAGAGGCTGAGGCAGGAGGATCCCAAGTTTGAGCCCAGCCTGGGCAGCTTAAAGGACTTAGTGAGACCTTGTCTCAAAATTTAAAAAGCTCTGGGGCTGGGGATTTAGCACAGTGGTTCGGTGGCCTGCCTTGCAGGACCCGAGTTCAATCCAAAAAACAAAAAACCAAATTTAAAAAGCTCTGAGGGTATATAACTCTATACCAAGGCCCTGGGTTTAGTCCCCAGTATGGAGGGTGTGTGTGTGTGTGTGTGTGTGTGTGTGTGTGTGTGTGTGTGAAAGGTGGGGGAAGAAAGTGATGAAGAGAGTTAAAAGATAAAGGCAATGAGTGAAGGAATAGTAGTTAGCAAATAACATCAGGGTTCTAGAGAATTCAGTTTGCTTTGTGGAGCACAGTTTTCGCCAGAGAAGAAGGGGAAAGGAAGACAGTAGAGGAGTGAGAGGTTTCCTACTATAACTCGATATGCCCCATGAATTCGGCTTCTTGTTTCCTATCTCTGGTGGAGCACTGCGCATATCATATCCCACATTTTCATTCTCCGCTCAAGACCCATCGCTTTCGGGTAAATTTTAGAACTAATGTAACAGTAAGTACAGGGTGGGGGACGAGGGAAATCCCTAGATCCCAGGATGGGCCGGAAGTGACAAGAAGCTCTTAGACACACCAGGATGAAGGGACCACAGTGGTACAAGGTCTCGGTCAGTTCTGTCCTCCCCTGTATCTCACAGCCTGAGGCTACAGCCTTCAGAAGAGAAATCCAAGAAAGAGGGAGCAGTAATAAGCACAACTGTGGTTTAGGAGCAATTATTCTGCATCATTTGGCTTCCTACTTCCTTAGTTTTTATTTTCTCTACTTTCACAGAACTGCTGGATTCCACAAACAACAGTCTGTGGCCACTGAAGCTGTCTTTGGAGGTGGCAGTTTGGTTTATCTTGCCCATTTTCATTGTGGAAATCCTTCTGAAATGGGTAGCCAGCTTCTCCCTCTTCTGGAAGAACGCCTGGAATGTCTTTGACTTCGTGGTCACCCTGTTGGTAAGGATAAATAGCCTGAGAACCAGATCACGGGTTGAGGAGTGTACTTCGGTGAATGGAAACAACACGAAAGCAAATGAATACAAGTGTGCCCAACTTCCCGTGATTTTTTGGTGGTGGTCAAAGTCAGACATTGCGGGAATCATTGGCATTAGGAGCAAGGTAAAATCTAACCCAGCATCAATCCCAGCAGTGACAGCTGCCAGTCCACGAACACTCAGTAAGTGCCAGGCACTGTCATGAGTGTTTGGCTCGTGTTAGGTCATGCATGCTTGATAGAGGCACTCGCTTTACTTTCTCTTGTATCTCAACAAGAGCTTAGTGGAGAAAGGCTAGCTAGGACACAATCCGCCAAGAATGGTGGTCAAGGGGTGAGGCCTGGGAACCGTGCGCTCATGCTCTTGTTTCCCACAGCCCTTGCTGTATGAAATCTTGGTGCTGGGCGGGGTGACTGGCCATCCCGTGTGGCTCGAGCTGCTGAGTATCTGTGGCGTGATGAGGTGTTTCCGGCTCTATGCACAGTTGCATCAAGTCCGCGTTATCATTTTGGCCCTGGTCAGGACCTTCAAGGTGATTTGCCGTGCCGCTCAAGTGTGGGGTGGGGGTGAAGAGCTGTGGGGTTTCACAGGTAACATGCCACGGGCCTGGGTGAGGAACATTACCGGATAAGAAGAGCTGGGGGTGAGCTGCCGTGGTCTCCAGACGCCTGGGCCACCGTGGAAGGAAGGGCTGGCTGGCTGGGGAAGGCCGGGTGGGGGGCTCGGCTGGGCAGTCAGCGGGGATCAGCCTCGTCTGCCCCCCTGACTCGAGGTCCTGTCCTCCAGAGCATCCGATTTCACTTCATGTTGCTGCTCCTCCTCTTCTACATTTTCGCCGTGGCTGGTGTCTACTTCTTTAAGGATTACACCCGTTCAACTCACCAGGACCTGGTGTACAGGGAGGCCTTCTTGTAGGCAGGGCCGGGGAAAGCCTGGGTGAGGGAGGGAATTCGGGCTGGGTACTTAGCACCTCATCCAAAGTACAGTCATAGTCTAGGAAGCTTGAGTAGGGCACAGTGTGGAGAGGGAGAGAGAAAGCAAAGGAATAGCCAGTAGCACTTGCTCTGATCTTAAGGGTAGGGTAGCCAGCTCTCAGTTGACTCTGGGTTTTACAAATTTAAACACAACATGAGCCATCTGTAAGTACAGTACATTCCGGTGGAGAAGCCCTGGTTTCCGTGACTTAGTTGCCTCTTTTGAAAAATGGGCATAATGGTGGTGCTACCTCAGAAGACAGTGAGGATAAATAGAGTCATGCACTGAAGCACTCAGCACAGCACCGAACACAGTACAAGTGGCCAGTGAATGTCACTGTGACTCTCAGACCAAGTCTCTGCTCTATCCCCCGTCTTTAGGTGTGGCTGTTAACACAGGTGCACAACTGTGCTCATTCGACAGTAAAATCCCTAAGATCTCTGTCTAGAAAACACTTGTTTTGAAGAAGTCAACCTCAATTTAGAGGAGATAATTCCATTCAGAAATTGTAATGTAGTCTCTTTTTTTTTTTTTTTTTTTTTTGGTACCAGGGATTGAACTTCAGGACCTTGTGCTTGTGAGGCAGGCGAGGTGCCACTGAGCTACCTCCCCAGCTATAATCCAGGCCTCCCAAATTTTTCTTAGACTCTCAATGGGCAGTTTTGTGAAAGTATTAAGAAGGTCCTGCTGGGCATGGTGGCTCATGCCTGTAATCCCAGCACTCCTGAGGCTGAGGCAGGAGGATTGCTATGAGTTCGAGATCAGCCTGGGCTACATAGTGAGTTCCAGGTCAGTCTCAACTACATAGTGAGACCCTGTGTCAAAAATCCAAAAAAAAAAAAAGAAGGTCCTAGCATTCATCTTATTCAAGCCCCGATGTTTTCAATAGATTGTATGCAGGGAACTACGTAGAAAAGAAGAATGATTTAGTTATCTTCCTTTTGTGGACCAAAGATCTCAGAATGGTATCTAAATATCTTCGTTTTTTTTGGTGCACCTGGGATTGAACCGTAGGCCTTGTACGTATAAGAAAAATGTTCTGCACACTGAACTACACACCCAATTCTGAAATAATTAATTTATAAATGAATTCTATCCATTTTACTATTTTTTATTATTTGTATACATTCATTATCACACACTGTTTGGGACTCCTTATGTTGTGTCCAATACCCATCCACTTACTTACCCGTCCGTGCACGCCAGTGAGCTAGGTAGGGTAAAATCTGTACAGCATGATGAATGAATGAATTCTGAAAAAATATCTATTGTGATCCACTCCCCTTTTTAAAAATTTGCCCAATGTTTATTGAGTACAGTACTTGCTATGCCCCAGGACAATTGGAATAATGAGAGGCGTTCCTAGGTTATTCACGGTAAAGGAAAACTTAATAAAAACAACTTCAAACCGAAGAAAAAATAGCTTAAAAAAGTTGAATCTGATAGACAACATGCCAAAGTCAGAGCAACATACTATACAAAGAAATGCTCTTACGTTGTTTAAAAATAGGAACTGTATAGTTTGTGAGAGGCTCCCCTCTCTGCACACCTTGCTCTGCAGGGGCCTGCCAAATTCCCTAATAACCGTCTTCATCCTCTTCACCATGGATCACTGGAACTCGCTGCTCCGGGACATCTGGAAGGTGCCGGAAGTCAGCTCGGTCATCAGCAGCACCTATATCATCCTCTGGGTGCTTCTGGGCTCCATTATCTTGCGAAATGTCATAATAAGCACGATGGGTGAGCAGAGAGTGGGCACCCCTGGGAGGCAGGCGTGGCTGGGAGGAACGGGCCTGAGTTCTGGGCCTGGCGGACTGTGGGCAGAGAGGGACTAGTGCAGCAGGCAGGTTCCGATCCCGGGATGGAGGTGCTACTTGGTTTCTCCCCACCCAGCTAATAACTTCCGGGACATCCGGGATGAGCTGGATAAGGAGATGGCACATCTGGCTGCTCAGCACAAGGCTGATGTCCTCAAGCTGCAGATCCTCAGGAGGTCTGCTCCCCGCTTTTCAAACTAAGCTTTCTTACCTCATTCCCTGTTTCCACTCCTTGGCCTTGGCCCTACTCTTTCCTTTGTGACGGAAGGTTGGCCCACAGACTTCAGTCTTCCCCGGCCCTGGTCCATAGTCTGCGTCTTCATCCACTTCAGGGGTCCCCCATTCTTTACCCCTTCAATGTAATCTGTCCTCCCCACTCTGCTTACTTCATGTTCTGGTCTGAAGTCTTTTGTTTCTTACTGCACTTCAGCTTAAGATATTCTGCTTCATTCTGCTTTTGTTTCTGGTGTTTGTGGTTTGGTGTCTGCGTGTGTGTACGTTTGCAGGAGACAGAACCAGTCCTTTACAACACTGAGGTCAAGCCACAGCAAAATCAGTGCCAGGTGAGCAGCGTATATGTGAACTGGGATGACTCCCCAAATTATCTGTCCCTGGCCTTCATCTCTGGGACCTTGGGGACATATCCTTATTTGGAAAAAGGGTCTTTATGGAAGTGGTTAACCTAAAAACTCTCGAGAGGCGATCATCCTGGATTATCCAGGTGGGCCCTAAATTCCATGATGAGGAGGATCGTGGAGACAGAAGGCACAGACACAGAGACAGACTGAGGCCCAGCGAAGCTGAGCAGTGCTGAGCAGTGGCATTTTTGCCGCTTTTTTTTTTTTAGCCACTAGTTTATGACCATTTGCTATGGCACCCAGAGGAAAATAATATAGATAACCTTTGATGAAACTAATACTACTCTAGGACCTGAATGTTTAGCAGTGAATAAGAAAACTTACATACGAGCAGGGGTGAAGAAACAACGAACATGTAAATAATGCACTAAAATATGATAAACCTATGGAAAGATTAAAATTAGAACAGGCAAAGGGGGAGTGTATAGGGCTATTGCACATGGATTATAGTTTGTTTGTTTGTTTTGTTTTGTTTTGTTTGAGACAGGGTCTCACTGTGTAGTTCAGACTGACCTGGAACTCACTACATAGCCCAGGCTGGTCTCGAACTCACAGCCATCCTCCTGCTTCAGCCTCCCGAGTGCTGGGATTACAGGTGTGCACCACCACACCCAGCTGGCATGGGTTATAGTTTGAAACCAGGTAGTCAGGGTGTCCTCTTCAGAAAACGAATACATGAGCAAGGATTGCAGTTGGGGAAGGGACGTCCCTGTGGATTCCCAATGGATTTCCTTCCATCAGCAGGAAGATCCTAAACGGAAGTAGGCCTGATGTGTGTGAGAAATAACAAGGAGGCCACGGTGTCTGGAGCAGAATGAGCAGAGGGGAAGCGGTAGGAGGTAGGGCGGAGAGACAGTGGAATGGAACCCTGCTTGTGTGGTACAGAAGGACGCGTTGTAGGGACCTTTACTCGGAGGGAAACGGAAAGCAGAGCAGGGGGTGACAGGAAGTGACTTACATTTAAAAAGATTACTGTGAGCAGGGCTTGGGGCACTCACTTGTCACCCCAGCACTTTAGGAGGCTGAGGCAGGAAGATTGCAAGTTCTAGCTCAGCCTGGATAATTTGTTGAGATTTTATCTCAAAATGAAAAAAAGAGCCGGGGATAAAGCTCAGTGCAAAGGACCTGGATTCGATCCTCAGTACTTTGACCTGGGAAATGTCCGAGAGGTCAGTAAGGAGCAGCACTGTGGCCCAAAGCGGATGAGAAAGGCTCACAGCTGTACCATAGCAGCGAACGAATGAGAAAAGATGCATTTGTGATGGTAGAACCTGCAGGTTTTCTTGAAGGACTGGATGTGGAAGGAAGAAAAGGGTTAAGAATGAAACAAGGGATGAGGCTGGAAGGGCCTAAGTTTAGAGTCTGGGACTAAACTGGCGCTCATCTCCTTAGATCCCAGCTTCAGGGTACAGCCAGGGCCTGGACTAGACTAATGAATCATCTAATCAGATCTGGTAAATGTGTTGGAAAGAGCAACATTTTTTCTAATATGTTCAGAGAAGTCAGTAGACACAGGACATCGCTGGACTTCCAAGAAGCTTCTTCAGAAAAAGAGTCTAAACACAGCACGGTTGAAAAGGAAGTGACCTTGTCTTCCAAGCCAACAAAAGAGTCCTTGTTCAAAAGGAAAGAGTCCTCATCTTCCTCCTCGACATCCTCCTCCTCTTCAGAGTATGGTGGTGAGCAGAAGGGTTTTTTTCCCACTGAAATTCAGACTCAATGAGAACGCAATCTTTTTCTCTTCCTCTCCCTTTCCCTCTCTCCTTGAGACAAGGTCTAGCTCTGTACTTCAGGCAGGCCTTGAACCACCCAGGCTGGCCTTGAACTCATAGCAATCCTCTTGCCTCAGCCTCCTGAGTGCTGGGATCACAGCTGCGCATGCATACCACGCTCAGCTGAGAATCTCAGTCTTAAGAGCAGCTGTCCCACTATATATGCGCTCCAGTGTCTCCGCCAGTTTGATTTTCTGGTCATAATCCGTGCCTCTTAATTTTCTCAGTATGGGCTAGAGATATGGCTCAGGGGTAGAGCACTTACCTAACACCTCTGAGGCCCTGGGTTCAATTCCAAGCACCTCAGAAGTTCTACGAGTAAATATAATTTCCCTGCACTTCTGCTCCCTTTCAGCTAAGTATAGCAGTGGCTCTTTGCTGGTTGTGAAAAGTTGTCTTCTGGGGACATGCCCTTTCCCTCTGTGTTCACCAGATCCGCTTTCACTGCCACCTTTCTACAAACGCCACAGGGTTTCTCGCTCTTTTCCAGCTTCTGTAAACGTAGACACATCAGAAGGCTTCCTCCCTACAGATCAGGTGGACTGGGAGAACTTGGTGCACCAGAATCTCCCTGAGCTCATGGAAATGGATCAGGACCAGTACACTCTGTGGCCCCGAAATTTACTCTTGCGGTATCTTGAGTTGCTGGAAGAGCTTCAGTATAATCTGGAGGAGCGGAAGGAGTTGCAGCGGTTGGCAGGTCTGACTGTGGGACAGTCCTGGGACGTAGGGTTAGGGGACCGAATGGCAGCCATGTTCAGTACACGGGACTAACAGGTAGAACCAGGGAGAAGGGGCGGGTGTCGCTATTCTAGCACCTCAGCTTCTGCATGTGTGCCTCCCACCAGATTCTTGTTCTAGGCTCCTGTCCCCATAGCCTCTAACTTTGAGAGAAACTAGAAACTCGCTTCTCCAGCAGGGGACGCCCAAATCCTATGAAGTCTGGGAGTTTGTTTCCCAAAAGAAAGGTGTCCTGTTCCGCTTGCTAGGAATGAGGGCAAAGTGGATCTTTGCTGACATTGCAGTCCATCCTCTTCCGCTCACATTCCTCCTCCTTGAAGGTCACATTTCAGACCTGCCTGGCAGGGCTCTGGCGCCCCTTGGACAGAGGAGCTGAAGGATGCTCTTGTGGGCATTAGACAGGCAGCAGAGAGCTCCCAGGTGCCTATTGCTGCAGCCCCCAGAGGGGTTTCTGAATTACAGACTTCTCTTTCTACCAGCCCTTTCTAGTTTCAGTCTGGGCAGAGAGAAATAGGTGATTTAAACAGAGTTTGATAGAAGCTCAGAACTAACTGCTCCAAATGATTCTCTCACCTGGACATATTGGCATACACTGATAATCTGGCACTCTAGGAGTCTGAGGCAAAGGAGCACAAGTTCAAGTTTAGCTGGGCAACTCGTGACTTAGACTTTGTCTCAAAATTAAAAATAAATGAATAAAAAGGGCTGGGATGTAGCTCAGTAAGAAGGCCCTGGGTTTAATGCCTACCACACAGACATCCAAAAAATCCTACTTTTCACCACTCGGGGGTTAGTTTGAATTATACCCCCGCCACACACAATGTAAGACAAAACAAAAACTGTTAAAGGTGGGCTTTTTTAAAAAAACAGTTTAGTATGGATCAGTGTTTTCTAATTATCTTTCTTATACCTTGTTGAAATCAACCCAATGTGAAAATAAGAAATCAGGGAGAAGGACTCAGTGCTTGCATGTGTGTGTGTGTGTGTGTGTGTGTGTGTGTGTGTGTGTGTTCATGGCAGGGGTAGGGGACACGGGACAATAAATGACATTGGAACTTGGGATTCTGTCTCAAAAAACAAACAAACCATGCCAAGTGTGGTGGTGCAAGCCTGTAATCTCAGCACTTGGGAGGTTGACAGGAGAATCACTGCAAGTTCAAGGCCATCCTCAGCTACAAAGTGAGTTCAAGGCCAGCCTGAACTGAACAGCAAAATCTTGTCTCAAAAGAAAAAAAAAAAAAAAAAAAAAAAAGATTGGGAATTTCGAACCCAGAAAAGAAAGGTCTTTATCAAATATGTATAGGTTCAAAATATTCTCAGTTCTCCAGCCTCACAGTCTGTTTCTTTACAGCACAGGAACTGATGAAATTCCAAAAGAGGTAACACCCACCACAAATGGCTTCAAGATTTTTGGGCCCAGCAAAAGATAACGAAGGACATAGTTGGAAATAGAAAATTCAAAATTATCAACGTCTAATAAATATTGCTAATAATACTGCCGTTGAGTAAGTTAATTATGCCTCAGACACAGGGTTACTGAAAGGCCTGAGGTCAGGCAGAAAAGTTCCTTCCAGTGCCAGTAGGGCCTGAGCCACGTGGCTTCCCTTCCTCTTCACAGTGCCTGAGTCAGATTCTTTTTGATTGTAGTGTTTTAGCCCATCTCTTTTGCAACCTGTGCTTCCTGGTAAGAGTCCTAAGTGCACTTCTCCCCACGATGCAGGCTGCACGGGCCCCAGAGGCAGCAGGCAGCGTGACTGCTTGAGAAGTGTCGTTCCCATGGTCTGCTCTGCTAAGGTCGCTTGTCATGTGCAGCATGAACTTCAGTGGGCACAGCTGATGCTGGTCTCTGAGGCCAGAAGATGGTTCCTTTCTTTATTCCAGTTCTTTTGCTCAGGCAATGTTCAAAGCAGTAGGTGTTCCACAGAAGCGTGCGTGTGTGTGTGTGTGTGTGTGTGTGCGTGTGCGTGTGCGTGTGCATGTCAGGATTGTACCCAGGGTCACGGATACTGAGCAAGCATTGTACCCTGAGGTACCTCCCAGCAAGAATACCTTTTAGAATATCACCATTTGTGGTTACTGGTGACTTACCATCAGAAGGGATCCTGTTCCATTATTGGATGGCTGAAGTCTTTAGACTAGCTTGTGGGAAGCATTCTATCCCAGAATGTTTGAGGTTTGTGAAGATATTTTCATATATAGTACACATGTATACAGACTATACTTCTCCACTCTGTATAGAAAATACGTGTCTATATTCCATAAAGCAACAATGTACGAAGATATCATTATCCTATTTTTCAGAGACCAGAAAATTGAGACTTGAAAAAGTTAGCTTGGTTAGTTAACTGCCCAAAGACTCATGCCAAGTGTCTTAGTTACTTTCACTTTGCTGGGACAAAATACTTTACACCCGTCCCATCAAAGGAAGAAAGGTTCATTTTGGCTCCCAGTTTGAAGAAGTTTCAGTCCATAGTCCCCTGGTTCCAAGGCAGGACAGCATGAGAGAGGAGAAACAGCTCAAGGCAGGGCAGCAGGAAGCAGAGAATGAGCTTAAGGGAGGAGGGAGAGAGACAGACCTTCCTGGCCATGACCTCAGTGGTGCCCCCACTGACACGCTTCATCTCCTAATACCATATTTAGCTATGAACTCAACTGAGGATGATCTACTGATGAATACCATGCCCTCAGGATCCATTCACATCCCCAAGCCCCTGCTGTGATCACATGAGGGTTTTGGGGGACCATCTAGATGCAAAGCATAACACTAAGAGGCAGAGCTGAGATTCTAGTCTAGGAGAAAAACTGTGAGTTGAAGCCAGGCATGGTGGCAAATGCTTGTAATTCCAGCACTGGGGAGGCTGAGGCAGGAGGATCACTGCACGTTCAAGGTCAGCCTGAACTACACAGTGAGACCCTGTCTCAAAAAAAAAAAAAAAACATTTATGGGTTGAGAAAGTTTAAATTTAAACATTGAAATAGCTTACTCTGTTGTCTCTTCAACATAAAATCCACTGTGGTCAGAGTTTCTGTGGCTTGTTTCTCTGCAGTTCTCTTGTCTGCTTTCCTCCACGTGTCCATGTTATCTCTAGGCTGGTTTTATTCAGCCAGATGGTTTCCCCAAACTCCTAAGCCTAGATGCCTCTTTACTCACGTCCAGGGAATGGTAGTGACTCAATTCTCAGTTATTGAAGGAAAGTTCTGAGCTCTGGGTCAGAGAGTGGTTATTCTTGGGGTGGGGCCCCTGTGCAGGAGGAGGCCTGAATACAGAAATGTTCTTGCTGTGCAAGGCACTCGCACAGGTGTACAGAGATGTGAAAATTCAACAAGCCACTGTACCTTCACGATTTGGACCTTAACCGTATGTCTTAGTCACTCTCACGTTGCTGGGACCAAATACCCAATGCCCACAACTTGACTTGGGGCTCACAGTTTTTAGAAGTTCCAGGGCACAGTCAGCCGGCACCAAAACAGAAGCAGCATGGCAGAGGGGCATAGCTGAGGAAAACTGCTCACGTCCTGACAGCCAGGAAGCAGAGAGGAGAGGGAGGAGCTAGGGAGGGGAGGCACCCTTCCAGGCCCCACCCACGGGCCCGCCTTCTCCATCTGACCACGCCCCCGAAGCACATTCCGCCACAAACTCCTCAGTAGGTGAATCTACCAGTGAGCACAGCACCCCAAGATCCAGTCCCACCTCTGAACACATGAGGCTTTGGGGGCCTTTTTAATCCAAACAACACTGCATATAAGTTGAACCACACACACGCGCGCGCGACCTAAACACCACTGTGTACCAAGAAGTAGGTCACTGCTTACACCTCAACCAATCACGGAAGCAAGGTGGATGGAATCGCTAAGCTTTCTCCTGGAGCTAGGGTAGGGCCAGTCACTTAACTAAATGTAAGGGTTGCTCCCCAGTGGGGAAGGGACGATCCAGGGCTAGCGAGGCAATTCTGAAGCAGTTCACAGTAGTCATTACCTAAATGCATGTCTGGCCGACGGGCCAAGTAGAGAAAATGAAAAGGAACCTACAGCAAATCCAGGCAAATCCAGGAGCAGAAAGCAGATCAGTGACTGAGAGGTGAGGGAGCGGGAAAGAAGAAAGAGGGAGAATAAAGATAAGCCATGTAACAGGAAGCTAATAACCGCAGAGAATGGAAACAGTGTATGCCATAAACGTGTGCTAAGATTGATAATAGTAACAAGAATGAAAATGGGGAAAGGGGAGTAGAGGAGGAGGGAGGGGAGGAAGGAGATTTTTAAAAGAAGCAAGCTGTATTAGATACCTGTACCCACTCCCCAAGATGATTGTAAACAGTATGTCCTGTAAACATACTAATACAAAATGAGGTTAAATAACATGGTGACACATGCCTGGAATCCCAGCTACTTGAGAGGCTGAGGCAGGAGGATCAGAATCTTAAGGTCAGCCCAAGCAATTTAGCAAGACTTTGTCTCCAAAAAATAAAAAGTACTGGAGATGTATGTAGCTCAGTGATCCCTGGGTTCAATCCCCCATACTGCAAGGAAAGAAAAATTTATTTAGAAACGTTTTGGACTTACAGAAGCGTTGTAGAGACGCAGTTACCAAATGCCTGCCACCCAGCTTTCTCTGCTAATATTTATGATACAAGGAGCAAAGCTGAGAAATCAACACTGTCAAATACTCCAACAAAACCATGTGTCTCTTCCCGTTCCACGGTTCAGTCCAGAATAAAAGGCCATTTAGTTGCTGCCCACGTCTGTTAAGGACCTCAGAAATGCTGCCTGTGGTAAAGTGAGTGATTTGGGGGCTGCCGTAAAGTTAGGGACCAGGCACAGTCACAGTTGAGAAGTTGCAGGTAATGATGAGGATGGATTCTAAATGCGGTAAAACTACTTGGAGCTTCGGGCTGCTTTGGCCTTAAGAGGTGTTCTCTCAGCATGCGGTTTCCAGGTTGCCTCAACAGGGAAGAGACAGTCAGAAGGGAATTTATGAGCTCTTCCATGGCATTGGAAGGAAAGATTCACGTGAGTGCACCTGATAGCGAGGGGTCTGAACTAGGAGGAAATACTTAGCTAGTAAGCAGTATCTCGGTTACAAAAGGCAAACCAAAAGGGAGAAAAACAGCCATCCATGACGAAGCGAGGCGTCTGTTCTTCCAGGTGCAGAGTGCCCCGTGGAGGTTTGAGGCACTGAGGATATTTCAGAGTCATCACCTCCTTTGGCTTTCCTGGGAATATCCATTCCAGGTGCCAGATCTGACAGCTCCAGGCACCTCTCCAGGCTCATCTGTCTCACGTAAGCAGCATGCATGATTAATGTCCTCTTCTGCACCCCTGTCATTTCAGTCTGCTGATTCGTTTTTCTCTGTTGGGTTTTTTGTTTTGTTTGTTTCTGTTTTTGGGTTTTGGTCACTTGTAGGTTGGAATTTGTCTTTTCTTTGTTGAACCTCACACAGCTAAAAGCAGTAACCAGGCAGTGAGCACGAGCTACTCTAATATGAGTAGTAGTAACACTCAGTGAACATATTCTGTTCCAGCGCCTGGCATATCATAGATAATGAATTTTTGTTGAATGAATGACATATTTACTAAGAACTTCTACCATTCCTTGTGGTGCTATGGATCGAACCCAGGGCCTCATGCAAGCCCTCTACCGCTGAGCTATACCCCCCCACCCTGCACTAAGTACTTTAAATGTACTTTGTAACCTGGTCCTCACTTTAACTCTACACTAGTAATTTTTCCTTGTTATAGAAAAGGCCAGTATGACAGGGATTTGGAAGCTGCGCAGGACACACAACCAGTTACTATTGGAACTGAGATGTGAACCTAGGCCATCTCATTTCTTGTTACTGTAAAGCAAAACAAAAGGGGAATTTATTATAAGAGGGTTTTATAGAACCAAGGGCAGACATCAGGGCACGTGCAGGATGGGCTGGAACCAGGAGCTAGGAAGCCTTTGGCCACCACCAGGCTGTCTTCTTCCTCCGATTCTCCTGTCTGCCTCCAGACCACGTGTGGACCTGCTGGGCGAGGGGGAAAACTGTCAAACAGTGCGACTCGTCATTTTCCAGACCCAGCTTAGACCAGCTTTGAAAAGGCCTAGCGCTGTCCCGAATTATCTTGGTGGCTGGGGCCAAGTCATTTCATTTCTTTGTGCTTTGATTTCCTTGTATAAAAAATGAGAAGGTGATTTTTTTTCCTCCTCCTCAAAGGATTCCTCATGTCCTCTCTCCCTGTAAAATTCTGTGATCCTAAGTGAATCTTCTAGGGCAATAGTGCTGAATGTGTCATCCTGGGGGGGAGATAATGCAGGAGGTCTCTAAAGAAAGAGGGACAGAAAAAAAGCTTAGGTGGTGCATCGGTGCAAAGTACCGTTTAGAGCTAGAATCCAGTGAGGGCCTCTGGAAAGATAGAAGAGAAACGGAAAAGACAGCATCTCACTAGGTAT